TGTCAAACTCAGGAGAAAAGCAGAGGTGGCTTTAGGTGATATATTTACTTCTTGTCAAGGCTGGGGATATTTCTTTTAAAAGAGCAGAACTCTTTGCAGATCCAGCCAAGGTCTCTTGGAATTGTCAAGGTAGACACTTTAAAAAACTGTATGGCTTCTGACAGGAAAAACACAAGTTTTCTATGGGAACAGGGCAGTCAAAAAGTCTATTCAGCCCTTACTACAGCATTAAGGACAGGTCAAGGATAATGAGCTGTGATTGTAAGAGTCATGTGTAAGAGAAAGATGTAGCAATGTGTCATTTCAATCAGTGGGAAGGGTATTTGTCTTGTGCCTTCTCAGGGAGAAATCTGTTTCCTCCTGCAGCACCGTCATCTCCTCACAGCAGTTATTGGTCTGAACTGGCAGGTTCTGCTCTTGTTTCTGGACCTCTGGAGAAGGGTAAAAGCCCACTGTAACTTTTGATTTGTTGCAATGCCTGGCTGCAAGACAGCAGGCTGGGCATTGCAATGCAGTGAAAAAAGCCATCAGCAATTAAGCAGAATATTCATGACAGTGATTGAAGATGACTTTATTTCCTGCTGCCTTTGTTTAAAGAATGTCCTTTCCATATACTCATAATGTACACGACAAATGACTCCATAGCTGTGGGGGAAATACATAATGCTCTCTGTCTCCACTCCAAGGTTGACCACCAAATGATTAAAGCAGTGTTGTTTAAGGTTATTTCCAGGAAGGACTAGCTAACTTCTTTGTTATTGATGCTTATTTGGGCAATTTTGTCAATGTATGTTATGTCTGCAATTTAAAAACTTTTTAACCTCATATCTGAAATCATGTGTGTCTGCATATGTAAATATATCTATATATAAGTAATTTAAAATATTAATTATATTTTAATGTCTTTTCTGACAAAGAAATGAATGTGGAAACAAGCATGAGCAAAGGTAAGTGATCACACATTTGTTTTAGCAAGAAATCCATTCTCTTTCATTGGAAAATTGGAACCTTTTGGCAAAATAATTTCTGAGAAAGGTTAGGGTATTTCTATTTTTTTTTTTTTTTTTTTTTTTTTCCTGGGAAGGAAGCACCAGCAGGTGTGATCTATCAGTGCAAATGGAAAACAAACAAACCAAACAAAAACCCAACCAAAACACTCCCAAATGCAACAAGTTGGAAGACATTGATCTCAATGGAAAAGAAATGCTCACAGGTTGAAATCTCTCCCAGGAATGTTCCAACGTGGATTTTGTAATGGATTAATCTGAATAGAATTTTTTAAGAAATTATCTGACAATCTGAGCATTTAGCTTTTTCAAGTAGCTTCCCAGGATTACTAGTCTGTTTGAAGTATATGCTCTCTTTTCAAATAAAATTCCAGTTATTTTAAAACAGAGCAGAACTAAAAGCACTACAGTCAGCAGATCTATTACAAATTTAATGGCCTGTTTCACCCCTGCTCTCCTTCAATTTTGGAGCAGTGTGAATCCAGTGCTTTTTATCTTCTCACCCCAGACACAATCTGGACTAGCACAGCAAGAAACAAGTTTCTGGGAGCTTAAGCTTGTTCTGCTTTATTTGTGTTTTTTTCTGTGGTGGTGTGGTTTTTTTGTTTGTNTTTTTTTTTTTTTTTTTTTTTTTTTTGAGAGCAGCTGTCTTTGAGATTTGTGATCTTTTCTAAAAGCATGACCATAGTGATCATAAGGTCTTGGTGAATTTATTAACTCTACTTGATTAAATCCTCCTTTGACTCCATTTTGAAAGAATTAGTTCTGGAACACAGATTTAGATCTCCTCTACCATGTACTTGCCAGATGTAGGATGAACTTTATAAGCACTTTTATTGCTTTGGACCCAAGCAAGAAATATCACAATATGTAGTGTAAACCACAAAACCCGGAAGTTAAAAATCATTAAGATTTCTTATTCCAGGCCCTGAACTCTGGAAATGGATTATCCAATGGTGCACACATTCTCTTGCAGTCAAGGAATAAATGTCTGATCCTGGCTTGACAGGTAAGTGGTATTTTGACGGATCCATAAGTGGTTATGTGTTATCCCTGAACAGTGTTTTCCTGACTAAAAAACCTTTGTTGAAGGAGTTTGTATTTTAATCATAGCATCAGGTATTTCTGAAAAGAGATGAAGCTCTCCAGTGCAAAGACATCTAAAGGCTGAACATTTGGCTCAGGAAGAAACAATCTGAACTTTTAAGTTGTGGAAATTATATTTTCATCACATCTACTTAGCAATTAGGAATGTTTTCTTTTGTTTAAATATGATGAAAACTCTCCACTCCTTCTCTTTCTTTTTATGAGAATTCTTTTTCCCACAGAAATCATTAAGTTAATCCTTGATAATCCAAGAGAAAAAAAAATAGAGGCAGTAGTTCAAGCTCTTCTGTGTGTGTGTTCAGCAAAATGTTAGAAAACTCCACCATTAAAACTCTTGGGTTTCTATCCAAATTCTAATAAATACTATATAATGTATAAACTCATAAATGTTCACAGCATACGAATGGGCTGCCTCTAGAAATTGCATGGCTTGAGCACAGCATGATTAGATGTAAAGGAAAGGAAAGAATTTGTTATGACATTTCAAAGCTTCTTATAGCACGGTACTCTCACCTACACTTGCCAGGCTGTGGATTGTTATTTAAAAGGCTTATAAAGGTTTTTCTTTCCTAAAAATAATGATGATATTAAACATTGCAATTTAAAAATATTTTTAAAATGGAGGTCTTATCTTCTCCCATTCAGTAGCAGTGCCTGACTTAGGAAAGTGAAGAGGATGTGCATGATTAGCTAATGTCAGATGATATCCTAAATCACCATGTAGTGATTAAGACACTACATAGATTTTTCTTTATTTATATTTTAGAGCTATATAGAGGTGTTAAAATGACAGCTCTGGAGGCTAAAGTCTCCTTTTTGCTCAGCAGTGGACAGAAGACAGGATAATCCTATCTGCTTCATTCTGATCGGTTTTCATCTGTCTTCTACAGCTGCTGTTTGTTTTCCAATCAACTAAAGCTTGCAGCATGGATTTCTCAGGACAGTTTAAAAATTAGATTAAAAATGGAAGACCACTGTTATCTTTTTACCTAGGAATCCATTGTCTGTAGCTTTTCTTTCTTGAATTCATGGGTGAGTGATCTAGAGGCAGAGACTCATTTTCTTTGAGTCCTCATAATCTTTGACTTCATTTTTTACCTGCTTTCTAGCTGAAATTGCACCTTATAACATGCAAAGCCTTGCAGGCTGGTTTTGGTGTGAAAGTGTATTTGAGAAGAGACTGGAAACTGTTTCTACAAGTGAAAAAGCTGATTTACACTTAAACAGACTGTTTATTCAGAAAGGAAGTTTACCTAGGGTAAATGCTGGGTGGGAATGTTCTTTGAAAGGATGTTAATTGTATCTTGGTTCAAAGAACTCCTTGAAATTCCTGTAATGCAATTATGCTAAGTTAGAGGAAGTTAAAGGATTGTGTATTGGCAAAAATGCAGTTAAAATCCCAGTTGAAGACATGTGTCAGAAGTGCTATTGATGATAACATTGACACCTGCCTCAGATAACTTCAAAGCTTGTGCTCTCTGTATGAACCTAAGTTCACTGATCTCAGCTAGCAAAAGGACAAACCCAGACAGAGAAACGGGTCTGGACCTCCAAGAAGTGCAAATGGAGCTATGCTACTTAACAACAGCACATCAAACCCCAGCTCAGCACCTTGCCGAGGATACAATGGTGCGCTCCACCAAATGAAACCCAACATCTGTAGCCCGGCAGCTGTTCATCATAGACAGAAAGGGATCTCTGTGACTATCTGCTTTCTCCATGCTGGTGGGAAAAATGAGATTGCTCTGTGTGAGTTTCTGAGGAAAGACGGAGCGCAAAAGACAAGTCCCACACTGGTTTCTAAAAGCACTGAGGTTCTAAGGTTTCTGATGTCTTCTGGGCATGAGTTCTACCCTTGTAGGGGGCCTTATTCAGACAGAATGGTGGTAGGGCTTTTTCTGTCCCACAAAGTACTTCAGAAATAATAGAGTCCGAACTGATGAATGCACCCAGAACCTTACCTTTGGCAGTGAGTCTGCCTTGATGATTTCTCTCCTTTCAAATATAAATCCCATATTTTATTAATTGCTGCTCTGTTTGCCCAGTTCTGTGAAATGACAAGCTGGAGATGAGAAGCCCTAAGATCACACACCCTTTTGGGATTTGGCTATGTGTTTGAAATAATAAGACTTATCAGAATTACAAATAATGGAAATATTAATTTCCATTCATTTTTATGTTAACCTTTTTTGGGGATTTCAGGTTTTAAAAATAAGGTGGGAAAGGGCTAGATTTTTCTGCCCAAAGCACTTCTATTTATTTGGTTCAATGTCTGACCTGTCACAGAGGCTCTACCTTTGGATTCTGGTCCTTTGATTTCCCCCTCTGCATACAAACTGAAACACTCAGTAGTTCCCACCTCAGTCACAACCATATTTTCCTTTTTTGAGGAAGTCAGGAACTGGAAAGTTGCAGAGCAGTCTGGGTCTTCCCCAGTTTGGAGTTCCCCTGCAGGTAAGGAACATAGCAATACCCAGGACTACAGAGCTCTTCCAGCTTCTTTAGCAGAGATTAATCCACCCAGACTCTCAAATGTTAAGGGACCCAGGTTCTCACTCTCTAGATTCAGTCTCTTATTGCTACTCTTGTCATCACTGAGTTCTGTCCATAGCATAACTTAAAAAGTAAGAGCCATGGACTTCATATGAGGAAATAATGGAGGATTTCAGAATTTAGAATTTTGCAAGGGAAAATACTCCTTCTTGGTCATACAGTCTTGCTGTGTACACACACCAGAAGTGCTTCTGATCTGTTATTCAAATGAATTCTCAGTGACAAATTAGGTATATGTAGTGAAGAGGAGAAAAAATTATCACAAATGCTCCTATAGTGGAGCTGAAAAATATGGAATCATAGAATCAAAGTGACAAAAATAGATTAATATTTTATGTAGTGCACTGTGGTTAATCCTTGTGCTCACAGTATACTTTATTTAGAATCACTGCAGAATTCCTCCTCTGATTTTTCTCACTGAAATTAGACTGCAATGCTATGCTTCAGACTTCACAGGAGCCTAAAGGTATTTGATTTATGAGTTTTGTTCGTTGTTCATTTATTTTAATCACTGTTGGTTTTCTCTCCCTTTGACTATCTTAGATTTTTGTTCTCATACATAATTGGTTATTCTGAGCTAAACAGTTCTCCACTGAATTCAGGTTCCCCAAAATTTCAAAGTACAGCAATCTCATTTGAGGATGAGTATCATTAAAAGAAACTGTGGAATTAAACTATCTCAGAAGCAGAATGTGCAGTTATAATGTTTCTATAATGTTTATAGTGGCAATTCCAATCCTCATGCTAGCACCTGAGTGTTTTATGAGATTTTTAACTTAGTGTTTTTCAATACAATTATTATTTTAAAGAATATTTAAATATTTGTAAATATTATAATGTGTTTAGGATACTGGGTTGTTTGGGTTTCTTTGTTGTTGTTAAGTATTCAGATGCATTATTTCATGAGGTATTCAAAGTTAAACCAAAATACTTCACTGTTGTATGAAAAAAATATTTGGATACTGAATCTTAAAAAAATTAAAGTGATTGATACCAATTAATGCAAGAAAAAAATAGAATAGCATACTCCACAATTTGAAGCTGACATTCATTTGTATTTACTTACTCAGTTATCACTTTTCAGCATGCAATTACATTAATATTTTTAGATGTTGGATGGTTTGACATTTTGTTCCAACCCTAGACAGCCAACTATGCCTTCAGATGGGTCTCTGCCAGCTAAAAATACAGTCCTAGACAAGAACATACAACCTCCACATTAATATTAGTGACACCCAGAAATAGATTGCTGAGCTGAAATAATTAACTCCAGAGGATTCAGTGGCTTGTCCATTACTATGCTAGGTCCTAGCTTGAATATATGCAAGAGTAGAAAGCTGAACAGCCTGAATATCTGAGGGGTTAATGGCTACTTTCATTGGAGAACTGTGGTCTGGTACAGTTCTGCAGCTCCTAGCAATTTAGGAGCATAGAATACAGGGGAAAAAGGGGTGTCTAGGTTATGGAAACAGATTCTCATACCATGGTGCTTTCCACAGACATTGCCATAAATCAATATCTTTAGTAACTGTTTGCAACTGTTCATTTGCTTGGAGCTTACACTATCAGGGCTGCTCCAGACTGTGACTTGTACAAAGTGAGAAAACTTTTCTTTTAAAAATTAATTTATCATCAGTGAGTCATAGCTTTGTCTTAAACTCTATGCTGCTGTGTCTAGCATGGCAATGCAAGTTGATTCACCTCTTCACAAGGAGCACAGTGGAGTCTTCCCTAGCAGAAGGGCCAAAAACTTAATCTTGCTAGAATATGGTGAATACATAAACTTCTGGTCACTGCCAGATAATCTCTGTAATCCAAGTTTTGAATCTCACTCTGCATGAGATGAATCAGTTCTTTGATGACAAATAAAAGCCTTTTCTGCATTGGTGGGATTTATGATTTCCTTTTCAATAAGATGAGGGATGTTTTATTCTTTTGCATACCAAACTCTGAACATGAGACAGTGTTCTAGATGCCTTACTGTCTGAGAGTTCAAAAACTGTAGGGGACATTGCTGCCTTGCAGAAAGGAGATTTAGAAAAAATAAAAGGTTACGATTTTTAGTATTTTTCTCCTGTTTTGCTCCTTATATTACATTTTCAGGTTCCACACACTTAAGTCATAAAATTGCAGGAGTATAGTTTAGCCACAACAGATAGCTTGTTTTAAGTTTTTCCATCTCCCTCTGTCTCTGCTTAAACTATTACTCCTGAGATAGGTGAACCTGTATTTGTTGTGCCAATATTGGTGAACTAGCAGTGACAATATTTTTGTACTCTACACACAGAAAGTAATGTCCTGTGAGCAGAGGATACTTTTGGGAATACTTCAGCCCTGGCAGTCAAAGGTTTCACCAACATTGCTTCACTGAGGACAGAAAATTCAACAGTAGCTGAATTGTGAAGTTCCCAGAAGACCATTTTATTCTGAATCTAAGGTGTGAGAATTTTGCTTTTAAATCACTGTGCCATGTAGTTAGAGCAAAAGATGTTTTAAAAGCAGCATTTACTTATCTGGATTCCATGAATTTCTCTTCCACTGTTTATAATAGTCTTATCTTGTGCTCAGAAAAATGTGAAAAAGCCTTTTACAGAGAAAGCAGTAGAAAGACATTTTATGTTCCTTTTTGCTGATTACTTTTCCTTGATGCTAGGAAACAATTATTTTAAGTGGATTACTTCCAAAGAATAACTTAATTTGATAATAAAACAAATACTACTTTCCCATTTATTGATGAATCAAGCAAGGTAATTGGATTTATTACTTCTGAATCTATGAGTAATCCTGTTTCTAAATCACATATGTGTTTCCTCCTCTGCTTTTATGTTTGTCAGGAGATGACAATTATTTATTCATTCTCTTTTAGACAGATTTTTTTTTTTTTTTAATCTGGACAACAGTTTTATGCACAATTTTTGAGCTCAAAATAGAGCTAATTTATACTTAACACAATATACATCCTTGGTGGAGAAAAGTGAGTTTCAGTCATTCTGAGCAGTTAAAAATACCAATTAATTAAAACATATCTTGGATTAATATCTACAGTATGCACAGTAATTGGGAAATAGATATAACATTTTTATAATGCTGTTTGGTACTACTGAATGTCTGGGTCCTGGAAGCTGAGAGGCCCTTGGGACATATATCCTAGGATATATGACATACATCCCAGGCTGGTATGTAGGAAATGCCTTTTCTAGGCATATACAGCTAATCTGGGGAGTAGCCATGCTGAGTGTTGTTGACATTTCTCCTTCCTCTGCTTTTCAGCTTTATACTACAAATCCACCGTGCTGAGCCTTTAGAAGATTATAGATTATTTTAGACATAATAAAATAGTGCAAGATCTTTCAACTAACTGAATTAGTCAAATATTCCCAATTTAGTAGTTAATCTAGCAGCATTTAAGAATTCCTTTCACTTGGATAGCTCACATCAGTTTGCAAACATTAAGTAAACTTCTTAGAATCTGTACTTAAATTCTTAGTTTGTTTTATGGGGATTGTTTACATCTATAATGGTCTACTAGTATAGTTATACCAATTGACACCAGCAGGTTTCTGAAGTGGAAATGCAGCTTACATTAGAAAAACTATTCCTCTTTCAGTAGAAAATAAAATCTGTTTCTGAGGAGCTAAGTCTCCATGCTCTGGTTTAAAGTGTGATTTCTTTTTATACTCCCCTTCCACTCAGTAATGCTAGCACAACTTCTAAGAGTAGATCAAATCATGAACTGGAAGTGCTAAAGAAACTCATTCAAACCCAGATTATTTTTTCTCTGTAAAGGACAAGTGACCTTTGTGCTCGAAATACATTACTGAATTGATGGGATTCATTGATCAGCATAGGCCTTTGGTCTGCTTGATAAAGATGGAAATCTGTTCCATTCCCCAGCTCCACCACCTCTTCTCTCTGCATCAGTGTTGTACTCTTGCCTGATAAAGTGTTTCTTAAAAAGGGATTTCCAGAGCTGAACGAACCCATCTCTTGAATTGAAGAGCCAGCTTCTTTCATGTGGAACCATAACAAAATTGCATCTGCTGCAAAACACACTCTTCTGTTAGATAACGTGGTTTAACTATGCATCTGATAATATTTAGACATTTCTCCTGGTCATGTTCTTTAATGGTGGTCAACAGTGAAGGATAATAATTCCCTTGGGAGTTTCCAGGCTACCAAGTCCCATTGTGGTTTTCAGTTGAAACATTTCAATCCAGCTTTTCCATTTGTAGATATCATTTGAAGCCAGTGCTGCCCTTTCAATTTTTTTTCAAATGAGAACAAGAATGTGGTGTTTGAACTGAAATACTTTATTGGGTGGAACAGAAGAAGGGAGAAGGAAAGACATCTTAATTGATATCAAAAATATGCTATGGGCTTTGTGGCACCATGGCAAAATTTGCTCCTGCTGAGTCCAGTGAAAGACACAAAGCCCGTATCCACATTTCCCTGATTCCTACCACCTTTTTCTCTGTGCTTCCTTCTATGAAGTGACAGAAAAAGCCAGATCTTTTGGACTAATGTAATATACTCTTTCCTCCTCAGTTGCTTCTGTCTCCCCTCATTGCTCCCAGAAAGGGAGGGACTATTGCAGACCATTTCAGAGCATCGTAGGGCTTTCTCACATCACTTCTAATGCATTCCTTGCCTCCGGTCACCCAGGAAGAATCTGCTGTGTTTGATTTCTGTCTCAGGTCACTTGTCTCACCGTGACGTGCCAGGTCAGTGCCAGTGGATTGTCCTGCATGGCAGAGCTTTGGTATACAGGCTGGTGGGTCAGGTTTCACATGCTCAAAAGGAGTCAGTGTAAAGACAAAGAGACACAGCGTGTGTTTCAGTGCCAGTAATGAATAAACTACCACATCAACTACACAGCACGAACATCTTTATCCAGCTGTGTTTATAAATTATTTTCATTAATTATGGTTGTTCTTATCACTTGACACAAACAAGGACTTTTTTTTTAAGTGGCTGTTTTATTAATCCATTATTCTTCTGAAGAATAATATCTGCCTTCCTCTCTCTGCCTTTAACTGGCCAGAGATACATCACTTTCAAAAATAAATCTCAAAATGCAGCCCTGAAAACTACTGTTCTTTGAGTCATCACTTATGAAAGAAGATACCTTTTTCTTCTGTCCACCATGAATTAAAATAAAATTACTTATAATCTATCTTTTAAAACCCTGTGGTCAAATTTATGCCTGGCATCACAGTGCAAGAAACAGCATAATTGCACAGTGGATAAACTCAGTCTCAAGAGTTTAGTTGTGCTTTGAAAGCTTTTTGATGTATTGTTGTACTTTATTTATGTTTTTAAAATTTTAAATTTTGTTTTGCTTTTTTACTACTAAGGCTGTTTCGGAGCTGTGTTAGCAACCTGAACTTTGTAAAATTGACTCTAACTGGAGCAGAACCCTAATAAACATAAAGGAATTTTTGCCTTTGTGTCAAAGATTACAGTGCAAAACCAGGAGAAAATGGTTATTTTTCAGATACACATTTTGAGAGAATAGAAATACTTCTGCATTTTTTGATTACAGAGAAGCTTTTTGAATTCAGACAAATGCATTTCACACAATTCATTTCAGGGCTGATTCATTTTATCTGTGTGTCTCCTGTGCCAAATGGAAACATTAGGCCTCTTTAAAAAATGATGGGGGATAATAAATGCTCTAGGCATTTGTTTTGCTGAAATGAAGTAATGGCAGGGAAGCATATGGTGAAATATATTTTTAATTACTTTTCAACAATGTTAAATGTTTTCTTCTTATTTTCATATTTAATGTTCTTGATCAAGCTTGCTAAATAGGCATCTCTTATGGAAAACACCACTTTGTGCAATAACACATGACTAATTTTATGGGCAATACTGTATATCCCTGTTCTACAGTATTTGCTGTAGAATTTTGTTTTATGATGCTTTGTGCCATCCAAGGAAGCTGGGATTGTGAGGGGGGCTGTTTTGTTCCTGTTTCATTTTTTCCCCACGAAGCCCATAACTCTTAATACTGTTATTGAGAGGCTTTTTTTTAATATATATTTTTGTTTGTGCATGCAGAGCAGGAAATATTATTCTCTTCTGTTAGACTAAACAAAAGGAAATCCACCTGAGACTGAGAGGAGACACCAGTCTCCCTTTTAACAACTTCACTTCTAAATCACCCTTCCATCCCCTTCCTTCATCTCCCTCCCTGCAGCACAGGTTCCACACTAAAGCAAAGTGAACAAAGGACAACTGTTCCCAGCCCTACTAAAGAGAGAAAAGCTTCTAGTGCCTCAAGGCTAAAGCTGAGCTGAAAGTATTATGGCTACAGGTGGTGTCCAGGCTGTAGATATACCTGCACAAGGGAAATATGAGCCTGTTGCACAATTCCAGTAAATAACAGCTGAAGAGTAAGTGACATCACAGGAGGGTGGCAGGGGGAAACCAAGGCACAACCATCACCACTTGTCTGCACGTATATGTCACCTTTTTGGGATGTACACAAAGGTTCTTTCAATACAAAATATAAAGAAAAAGTAAGAAAACCTGGCAATTTGCTGTCAACACTTACAGCAGACGACCACATTCTCCCCTCACTTGTTACAGAGCTGGCACAAATTCTTTCTCTGAAGATGTCACGGTCATCACTGGTATGAGCGGAGAAATGCTTCTTGAGACATTCATCTTCTTCCAACACACCCTGGAGATCAACAGTCCCAGGATATTTCAGACCACTGAGTCCTTCCCAGAGATGAGAACTCCTCACAGAGACTTCTCTGTAACCACCATCCTTTTTCAGCTTGAGTGGCTTTTCTTCCTGCAGCCATGGCAGTGTGGCAGAAAGGACTTAGGATGGCTCTCTCACATGTCCAGCACTTCCTTTATCACTGCTAGTGATTCAGAGGATTAAATCAGCAGGATATAAAGCAACAGATGGGGATTTCATTCATTCTCTGTGCTTTGAAAACCAACTCTGAGGAATAGATCCATTGTTATTATTGTGACCTTCAGTATGCTGCATGCACATTTCAGTTTGAGGTGGGAGGGGGACGTCTGTGGGTCTGAGGCATTGGCCACCACTGTGGAGAGAAACACTCTGCTGATAGCTTATCCACATTATTCAAGAAAAAAGACCAGCTTGTAGCAAAGGTCAGTGCACTGAACGTGTAAAAGATACTCCTTTTTCTCCATCCCTTCCCCTTCTCACTGGGAACCAGGGCAGAGGAGCAGAAGTAGATGGGGTGGGAGTAGGAGAAGTGAAGCCCAATATTTCTCTTGTGATAAGCTGCTGACAACTCAGACCTGCCCCTGGTACTGGGAAAAAAGCCAACAAGCAAACAGAAAAGAGAAACACGAAGTTGCCTGAGGGAGGCAAGGCCATGGCAGTGGGTGGCCTGTCTCCCACGCTGCCTGAAGCTGCAGAGGAGGAACCAGCCAGCTCTGGGACAGCTG